TATAACTAGCTTCCGGTATATATCCAGCCCAGAAGTATGCTCTCTTTTGACACTTCCGCCTGACAAATCGGTCACTCCGCGTATTATTCTTAATTGCATACTTTCGCGATGCACAAAATATTGAAATTCCAGCATACTATTTCGGGCAACGAAGAGCCGCTAATTTGTGCACTGATGTCACTGAAAAAATTTTTGGACCAAAGTTATTCCTCCTTCTGTAGCCTTTCTGGCCCCTGGTGCTTTAATAATATCAGTTGATAAACTGATACTGCAAATGTCAATTTAAGTGCCTTGATTTTCCTACAACAACAGCAACAAGATTTCTACAAGAGTATCCCAAAAATCGGCCAAATCATTGTCCGTTTCTCGTATCACATTTGTTTATTTAACTATATTGCACTGGTTAGGCAAAATTGCACTTCTTATGTCAGTAGTAATTGTTTCTATTTCAGGAATTTCTAGCAGTCTAAAAAAATTACGTATACGCACAGGCTAAATTGTATTTAAGTATTTAAATATTATTATATTAAAAACCAATTAACTGTCAAAATACTTATTTTTAAGAAGCTATACGAACCTTAACCTCATGTATTTAATTTATTTGTACTGGCAGGAGTCCAAATTTTAGTCTGGTTCTTTCTACCGGATATATTGTCATTATTCCATTTTAATAAAATTTTAAATATTTTAAAATCGATAAAAACATTTATATCGCAGGGTCTATGTGTATATGAAAAAAACAAGAAAAGTACTATCAATTTACATTAATATTACATATTTTATAATAATTATAACCGTGTGGCCCCTACTTCGGTAAGTCTTAATCATGACAATTATCATATACATACTTCAATAGATGAGGCTATAGGATTGATGACGCCTAGAATTAACATATTTATTTTTCAATTTAATTTAAATTTTATATTATACAGCAATTTGTATTAAGGAAACAAACAAACTCAAAATTAACAGCCTAAATTAATTATAAACAATAACTAATATTGATATCTTACCCATACAGTAGTTTCAAAACAGAATCTGACCTTGGTGACAACTTTTGCTGCATTATTATACCCTTGCCTTCTATAAAAATATGAATATTTATTTTGCAAAGAAGAAATACATTTGCTGTATATAATCATTACTTAATATTAAACAATGCGGTGGCGAAATGATCTTTCGTGTCCTTAAGTCTGACGCTTGCTTACTTAAATTGCTACTTCTATTCCAAGACCTCAATGCAAGATTAAACCCAATTATTAATTAGCGAAATTATGAGAATATATAGTATAAAAATGAATAAAATCATAAAATCTAACTTCAGTTTTAATCAAATAATGTTGTTTCATTCATACAAACAGAAGAATTCGATGCATATAGTACAAATAAAGTAAATAATAAATAATTGGGGGCCTCACAGAAAGTTTTCCTAATATTGTAAAACATAAAACATTTATTTTGGGTAAATAATTAAAAAAAAAATAAAAAAATTATATAAAAATGGAAAAAAAGATTGTGGTCCAACCATATTGGTTGGGCTGATAACGGCAGTTCACTCCGGTACGCTATCCCACTACTGCCTACCACGGGAACTCTTGGCTGCTGGTTTTCACCCCTGGCCCGGTTCATCCCTCCTTAGCCAACCTGAATGCCGCGGACTCCTCCATGGCACCCATATTGATGGCAAGCTTAGTGCGGACGTTCCGTCAACATGAGCTGTTCGCTACACAGTAGATCCCAGCCTCAGGCCATCCCACAATCAGACCTCGCAGAAGCACGATTACAGAAGATGCCAACCTTCCAGTCGAAATTCGATTGTCTAAAACTTCAATTTGCCTTACAATACTACTGCTTCCACTGTGTTCCACACTACCGGCAAACTGCTTTATCGACACGGGCCTAAGCAGTGGAAAACGTGGTTGTAGCCACTTTGGCATTGGAATCGACAATGCCCGGGTAGCTCAGTCGGTAGAGCATTGGACTTTTAATCCAAGGGTCCAGGGTTCAAGTCCCTGCTCGGGCGATCTATTTTTTATTATTTTTTGTATTATTCTTATGTGAAATATTTGAAATATTTCTATAAGGCTATAGAGGTTTTATTACAGGAAACTGCTTAATCGACCGCAGTGCCTTGGACATGTCAATTGACATATTATAAATATTAATACAGGTCAGACTTAAAAATGCGTAGTAAATTTTTCGAATTATTATTTTACTTTACAAATGAAATAATCAAAAATAAATAAAAAAAAGTTGTTATCGCCCGAGCAGGGACTTGAACCCTGGACCCTTGGATTAAAAGTCCAATGCTCTACCGACTGAGCTACCCGGGCATTTTCAAACCTCCTGCCAAAGTGACAACAAAACTAAGGCGCTAGGTTCTTGGAAATCAGTCATCGGAATTAGCAAAAATAGATTGATAAATAACATTTCGACATAAAAAAATATTTTAGCTACAGGACATTCGTTAAATATAATTTCTTGTTTTAAAAGCAGCAAACTTTGAATTAGAATGTTCAAACCTCTTCTGAATCTATATATTTACAACAAAAAAAGAGTAAAAAATCAAGCTCGCCCGAACAGGGACTTGAACCCTGGACCCTTGGATTAAAAGTCCAATGCTCTACCGACTGAGCTATCCGGGCATTCGAACGTCATCGATCCGACAACTGTACTCACAGCACCGAAGATCCTTTCTTTCCCAAACCAAGACCCATTATCAAAACCCAGAGATCGTGTACATTTTAAAATAGTTTTTATTTTTTATGCCATATTCATACATGTTTACATACTTTTTGTTTTTCTTTATATTTGTATGGTTTTTGTGGTTTCATAGTTGAAGGTTCTCATTTGTTTTTCGCTTTTGTTTTCGATTCCATTCTCGTTTGTAAACATTGCGTCTGCAATTGAACCCAGATTAAGGTAATACATACATGCGAATTTCATTTAAAATTAGTTGCGTAATTTTATTTATACATGGAATGCAGTTAAACTCTTTGCGCCCACTGTTCCCAGGCCGACAGTGAGTGCCCCTTAGCCCAAAAACTACGAATGGTGTATTGCATTTCGATCGAGATTCGAGGGGGAAATCATCATCTCATTACAGTTCCGGCAAGTGGCATTAAACAAACAATCAAGACTGTACAAACTAGGATTGAACAAATGTACACAATGGGAAACAAAAAATGATTGATATTAATTTGTGCTAGGTTTTCTTTTGATTCTCTCATTTTCCATCGATTTGTCTCCCTTAGCGTTTGCTTAGCCGCTGCTCATTCTGATTTGTTTTTCACTTCTGTTCTGTTTTGCTTTCACTAAAATTTGTCTTGCTAGTTCGATATACATAATTTAGGCTTACGATCTAGGGTCACATAGACTACCGATAGTTCTAGAATGCACTAACCTTAGCTTAGCGAAAAGTACAGCATAAATAATTACTTTACATTACGGTTATGGGATTCCTTTAACAATTCTCGCTTTAATCAAATTCCATTGTCGAAAGACTCTCGACCTAAATGTACAGACATTGCTCAGAGAGGCCTTTGAATAAATAATGTGGAGGGGACGCTGTTGCTCTAAAGAAAATCCTGATTAACTATAGCAAGTTCTATGCTAATTTCGAGATATTTTTTTACTTCCTGTTTATCTTCCGAATTTGTTCTCAGTGGCAATTAAAAACGATTGATTTTCAATCAAAATTAGTAAAGCATTTCCAAGCTGCTAGAGCACTTTCAACAACACAACACAAAATAAGGTGAACAGTTACAGATACTTTCCGAAATTTCTCTCCAAAACGAAACACAAACATAAAAAGGCGATCTCCGCGTGGGGGGCGCTCTGCTATTTACAAACTAAACAAAGCCTTATGTGGTTAACTAGAGTTAGGTCTCTACTAACTAGGAATTAAGTACACTCTTTAGGACTCCCTGGAGGGTGCTGGGTGGGGTGTTGGCTGGGGACCGAGGCTGGGATTGGATCAGATGTAAACGAAGGGCTAACGTTAATTAGAAATCACTTTGAAATTATTGCAGATATTAGTTTTGCTTAACTCGACACTCCGTCTCTTCGTCTGTGTGCAGCTTACAAACTAAAATTATGCTAGGCTTACTAACTACCAGCTTTTCGAATACTGCTTAGAGAAAGAGGTTCATCATACTGGAAGGACGCACGAGCACTCGCAAGGATACAAATTTTAAACATATAGCCACAATATTAGTCTGAAATCAGATCAATATCAAATATCAATCTGAATTTCAGCTTAAGCAGGCGTGGGGTATGCACTACTTCTTGTTAACTTCTGTTGTGCATACCCTAGTGTAATTTAAGAAAGGAAATCAAATAGTATGGGAACTCTGTGCGTAGGAAATTGAGAGCTAAGCTCAATCCGAGTCACAGAAAAGTGCTTTTCGAATGCGATTGCTCGGAGTGCCACCTCCAGTATCATAAACCCAAACGAACCATCTGAATGTGGCTCGTTTCTTAGCTTAACACGAATCAGTTGCAAACAAGAAACATCACTGGATGTTGGTTGATCGACGGGCGGCGACAGGCGGCAGGCGATGGGCAATGGGCGGCTGACGGTTGGCGGCAGGGGCGTGGCTCAGCAGCAGAACAAGTTGCAGCCGACAATGTCCGCCTTGAACTCCAGCTGCAGATCCGGGTCGGGCTCACAGTCCGAGGCCAGGAGCTGCTCGAGCCGCCGATCCTGGCTCCGGTCCACAGGATCATCATCCTGCTGCCGCTGCTGCTGCTGCCTGATGATAACCTGAGATCAGAACTCCTGCGGATACTTGATGCAGTCGGGCGCCTGGGAGCTGGAGGCGGCGGTGGCGAACAGGGAGTTGGGTCCGTTTCCGGGGCCATTGCTGCCGCCATTGGACAGCGCTCCTGCACTGCCACCACCACCCACGCCACCCACTCCGACCCCCGAACCACCGCCCACGGAGCCACCGTCCTGGGACTGATAGCCGCTGGCCGCCGAGGCCGCCGCCGCCGTCTGATATGGTTCCTGATACAACTGATTGAGTCTCTAACCAGTACCCGAAAAGTGCCACGCGTCCTATGCGCTCAGGTGCGCGAACTGCGACGGATGGATATCGAACTGGTGGTAGGGGTGTCCATAGGGACCCATGTGGTACGGCACGATGTTCATCGAGGCCATCTTGTGCTCCTTCTTCCACTTCATGCGCCGGTTCTGGAACCAGATCTTGATCTGCCGCTCCGTGAGGCACAGGGCGTGCGCGATCTCGATCCTCCGGCGGCGGGTCAGGTAGCGATTGAAGTGGAACTCCTTCTCCAGCTCCAGCGTCTGGTAGCGGGTATATGAGGTCCGTTGTCGTTTCGTCTCGCCATTGGCGTTCACAGTACCTAAGGGAGAAATGTGAAAGAGAAGTGTTAGTTGGGATGTCAATTTGAATATTATAAATCAAAGGAAAAACTAATTGTTTGCAAAAAGAGATAGTTGAGTTATTTAAATGCATATCCTTCTAATAACTTTATAGTAGGCATATTTATAAAAACAATATTTGATTACCTATTCCCACCCTCAATTTGAAGTCTTTCATTTTACCCTGAAAAACTATTTGAAGGCGTTTCTAGGCAATCGTCAAACGTTCAAGTGGACAGCACCACCCCTCGATTTTCCATACCCCCGCGACCTTTCTCACCGCTCCGAGGCAGTTAATTTTCTCATTTATTTTGTGATTTTCTGCAACGTTGCGCATTTCATAAATATGACGTGTCAAACTGCCATTTGGTGGCACCCGAAAAAAGTTCCAACCTGGCCAAGAAAGGGGGGAGCATGCGGAGTCCTGGCCAAGGTATGAGTGTATATATCTTGGCCCAGACAGATGTTTGTCGCTTGCCAAAACTATCCTTTCCCCTCTGCTCTCTTTGTGACTTCCCCGGAAGATAATGACAATTTCCCGTTCTCTGACAGTCGCCCCCGAAAACTTTTCTGTCATCTGTATGGGTTTTTTCTTTTTTTTTTTGGTATTGTATCTTTCATTTTTGTCGTTGGCCAACTGCACGAGGGCGTTCGAAGCGCGTCGTTCATAATGAGGGGGCGTGCTACGGCAAAGTAGACTTTTAAAAGCCATTTACCGTGGCGTGTTATTACGGCCAAACTCAATTGGCCCGCCCGCTTTGTTTTGGCTTTCCAATACACGGCAAAGAGTTGAGGCACCGACCAAGTTCGGCAAATAGATACTGTATCTGTATGCGTATCTCTAGTATTTATATCTGAGGGAAATGTGTGGCAGTCAGTCAATGTGATAGACGGCAACCGCTGACTGGTGTGTGCGACCCCCTCTATATTTTTGGGGAGGGCGAACTGAAGTATCGTTTGGCTCCATGTTCCATTGATTTAATATGGGTCATGGCCTATTTGATGAGCAGAAATAAGTTGAACCTACTTTTGCAGATATATATTCATACTATAGGGATTTCTATTGAATTTCATTAATTGTTAATTACTTGATTATAGTGGAAATGATGATGATATTCTGCTGATTTTGATAATAAAGATTTTGTAATAAGAAATTTCATTCATTAAAACTTAAAGGTGAATGTAGGTAATATAATGAATCTAACGCAACTTCTTCCCCTATTATTGCTAGATAATTATATTAATATCATAATCTAGTCATAGTTTTAATAGTATATTGTCACCTTGATAAATGTATCTATTAATCATCCTCAAGGTAAATCATACAAGATGTACACTTCCCCTTGTCATCCAAAAGATAGTGCTTAAAGTTTAGTTTAAATTCAGCTTAAATTTCAGTTTAAATTCTGTTTAAATTTCAGTTTAATTTGCAGCTTAAATTTCAGTTTAAATTGAGTCTAAACAAAGTCTATCCCACTCAAAAGTAGCACTATCTTTGTCCACTGCCCACACACGCTTCCGAAAGTTTTCCGCTTTTGTTGTTTCGCCTTTGCCGCTGTCACAGTTTAGTGGTCTTCGATGTGACGTTGGCGGAAGATGTCAGGGCACATCAATCAGCGGCGAAAATCTAAATGGAATTTCTGATTAAAGTTGAAATTAATTACCGCTCATTTAATTAAAGCGAGTTTGAGTGTGGCCAGCTTGGAAGCGCCAACATCAAAAGCTCCTGCACTTCCCCGGCTGGCTGGCATCCTGAATGGGCTTAAACTAATGACCAAGTAAACAGCGGGTAGACAGTAACCAGACAACGGCCATCGACTTCATCAGTCATGCGGATCAGCCGGCAATAGAGTGAGACAGACAGACAGAAGGAGAGAGACAGATAGAGAGAGAGACAGCCAACTGTTGTGGCAACAAATTGAATTGCACTAATCCAGGCTCTTGACCCATTTCGCTCGCTCTCCTGCAACCAACTGTCAGTCGGGCCATCATATTTGATATTGCAGGTAATATTTCTGGTTTGCCATTAGGGCAAGATTTTCTTTCTTTTTTTTAAGGAGAAACTTTTCCCCAAATAAAAACTTGGCAGACTTCCGACTGATGCATGATGTGCAGACGTTTCCGAGTGCCCTTTACCATTACTATTTGATAAGCGAGGATCCTGACCTTGCCCAGGACGTCCGGCCAAATCGATATAGTCCACTATCCTCTGAGGTCAGAGACACTTATTTTGGTGTATTATTTTTTATTCCGTGGCTCCACCGAGGGACAACAAAAGACGAGCCGAGCACTTGCACTGCCATCGACCATTTACAATTGTCAAATGCGGCTGTCATATGTTGCAATTTGTTTACACCACTCAAGGGAGCTGGGAGGAGGGAGGAGAGTGTTGTGAACAACGTTGCGAAATGTATCTTTCGGATGCGTGCTGGTATCTGCCAGAGTTTAGGGCGGCTGCAGTCTTGGGAATGTTCCTTAATATTATGCAGAAACATGGGTAGTTGTATGGCTGAACTAATTGCCTTTAAAACTATATACAATGTGTGGAATTTTTATAATTTATGATATATTTTTTAGTAGAAAAATCTTTATATTTACCCTTTTTTTTGTAGGTAAGAACACCTCTTAATTTAAAGAAATTCTGCAGCTTTGTAGGTAGATATATATATTTTCCACAGACCTAAGGTATATCCACTGCGAACCTGCTCCACTCTGCTTCCCTACTCATTATGTCTAAATCAGCCCCATCTGCTTCTCTATTAGGTATCATCATCCCGAGCACCGCCATCCACTAATTCCCTCTCAGATTTGGTTTGATTTCCGACTAAAGATCACCGCATATCCGCAACCCGTTGAGTCCTCAGCCAAATGTCAGCACTGCGGGCATCCTCTCTCCGGGTTTTCTCAGTATGTCTTCGGATTTTCTTGAATTTCTTTTTTGTTTGGTTAACTACATGCGGGCAAGTAGCGCATCGCTGTCGTCATGGCCAGGCGCAAAATCCAAAGCGAAAGCCCCCAATGAGTTGACAGGGCAGAGAATCATCCGAAAAGCAGCCTCATCCAACGGCACCTGGCATGTCATATCACTGGTGCTTATATCACAGGCCCAGGGGGGAGGGGGAGAGGGGAGGCGGGAAGAGATCTCTTGACAGCGCCAATGAGCGAACATTCGAAGCGTTTTACAAGTTTGTTCCCATTTCCCAGCCACCTCAATGGGGATGGGATGCCTCTGCCTCGGAATCAGCCTCTGTCGCAATCTGTATCTTTGTCTGGGGTCTGGGCATTTGTGAAATACTATATAGACATATTGGATTTTGCATGTACAAACTTATATGTACACATATTTCAAAGACAGAACGCCCCAAGAATGAAGAATCTGTTGTGTGACTTTTCATATTGTTGGGTTTCGTTTTTTGCAAATACTCTTTTATTTGGTTGACTGAATGATACTAAGTAAAACGGAAATTCAACTTAAAAAAGCTATCTGTAAAATCGGTGTTTGTAATCTAAAACTAATCTCTATTTAATTGAAAACCTTTGGGAGAGGGTATTAACTAGTCTCTTATAGGGGATGTCTCTTCATGCTTGGTCATTTCATTTGCATTTCGCTTAAGATGACGTCAAGTGTACTTGGCTAAGAGAGCGGCACGCTGACAGCCGCTTAACATATCAGTTGGAAATTTGAAATTTTTTGGTGCATCCCATTTCGGCCTGCATGCAAAAATCTGTTTCAGAATTTATTAAGTGACGATCGGAGCTCGGAGAGCTCCTTCGATCTCAGTGTCACCGACTGCGATTCTGCAATTCAAATTGCCATTGTCCTTTCGAGATGTTTCCCCCAATGTTTCGCCTGTATCTCTTTGCATACTCCCCGATCGGCATGTGATTGACACGGGATTAGCATACACGGGACTCGATGCGACTCCACTTCACTCCACTCCGATCCACTCGATCGCTGGCAGGTTCAAAGTTAAGCTGAAAACCTTTGGCGTAGGTCAGACATCAGGCTCAGGTTGGAGCCGAAGTTTAATTGTTTTCTGTTTCTGTTCTGGCCGAGGCGCAAATAGATATAAAAATACGACAAAAAGATACTTGCGGCTTGTCACAAACACTTGTAGCGGTCATTTGTCAACGGTCTGGCGTCTGGTCAGGCGAAAAAAAAGCAACGAAGAAAACTAAATAAAAAATACACAACAGCGACTGAACATCGTCATCGTAATCAGCAACGTGTGCGGCACTCCAAGATCCCAGCACCTGGGATGCCATGCCAGGGTATGCCATGGTATGGAAGCGAGGGGCGCACGATCATCTGGCGGCCTCAGTTTTGATCTTATCGCGCAAAAACAACTTTGAACTTGTTGCACTTTTATACGGGGAATTGTAAAGTTGTACACGGAGAGAAATATGATAATATCTCATATTTGATGTAATCTGAAATCTTTAGTCTTATTAATAATATGAGTTTACTTGTCAAGATCAAAATGTATTAAGTATTAGTTACATTTTCCCCCTGTGCCGCGTTAGGTTGTTGGGCAAAACGGAAACACCATAAATCAACGCATTTCCGATGATGGCCAAAGATCGGTGGCTACTTAGTGGCCTGTGGCTAATGAGTCGTTTAACCGAAAACCATTATCAATGTCAAAATTCCAGCCCAGAATCATTACTCATAGGAAGGCGAGCGAGTCGCGGGAATTTTTGTCACAAATTGAACTAATTAAGTACAACAAGTGATCGTGATCAGGGCCAAGATCGCTTGGATTGAGCAGGAATTCCGAGCAGTTTTGCGGCTCTCTGGAAACTTAAAATTCCCTCAAATACGATTCGAACTCGAACAGTTCCATAAATAAATCAGACAGAGAGCGCGAGGTGCCACGCTTGAGGTCTGCTGGAAGAGATAAATCTTGGACCCTGGGACCCGATCGGAGCAGATGAGGATATATGGGATGGGATGGGATGGTTTGGTATGGTGGAGGAGTCA